TCCATCCCTTGCGATGACTTTAAAAAACTCCGACCACCACCGCGACGGTGTGTACACTTTATTCAAAGCCATGCTAATAAATGTAATTTACATATTTTTCAAATAATTCTATCCGGTACACCGAGTCACTGTGTAACGTCTATGTGTGTGTGTGTTTGTGTGTGTCAATGTAAATATATATATATATATATAATACAGAAACACATATTATATATAGGTTAGTATAGTATACACCATCATGTATTCATGTGTACCACTATATAACGCCAGAAACCGGTGTTTGTGTATGTGTGTTGCCGGGTGGGGAGTGTTAAAAGCACCCCATACACGGTGTTTATCCCCTTCCAACCTGCAGCAATCCCTGCTCCGAGGCAACCCCCGATCACTTGCAACTTTTACCAGCGATCGCCGGTCGTCGTCCCACCCATAATGTGCGGCGTTGGTACCTATTATATACATAATATATACGTATCTATAGTATAGCAGTAGTAGTAGTAGTAGTTGAGTACAATGTCCACGTAATGACGACGATGGCGACGACGACGACTCTCCAAAGTATGAATATTTATACGATATATATACATTTTTCTTTTACCCCGTCGGCGGTAGTGTTGTGTTCCCGTATTACATTGTATCATKGTTGTTTATACAGATATATAGTGTTGTGTACACATTACACGCACCACGTCCCTCCCGGGCTCAAATGCCTACGGGTCATTATCGTGGTATTTCGTATAAACGCGTACATATAGGAACCTCCTGTATGCGATTCAATTAAAATCCACTCAACACTTTTGTGTGCGTCTGTGTATAGAGGGATATGCGTAGGCCAACAGGCTCGACGAATTAAAAATGTTTAAAAAGTTAACGCTTTAAAAACAAACAAAAAAAATAATATGCCCTCGTGTTCTACAACTGCAGCACAATGCTCTTAACTGCTTAGCAACAGTATTACGATCCACCCGCGTCTAATTTATCAAAAATGTGTGTGGTACTGCAAGTATCGGAGCTAGTACTGCAGCTAGTAGGTAGGTATATGTTCGTCAAATAATTTTGAACAGATTAATTGAGTAACGATAGAAAAATCACTAGTAATCGAATATAAATATAAAACATAATATATAATAATAATATATAAAACATAAAAATATACGTAATCTAAACAGTGGCGTAATTAAGAATTTAGTTTGGGCGGAAGATTGTATGTTTCTAGCAAAATCTGTAAGCCTCATACAGTAACCTACCCCACCAAATATAAAATGTTAGCAGTGAAATAAAAGTTTTTGGGGGATCTAGTCTTCTCATCTACCCCTTAATTACGCCACTGGTTCTAATAAGTCGAACATATACAACATAATAATATAGAAACAAAAGTAATTAACTAGATAGGCACATACAATATAAATGGTCTCAAGAGCCAAAATGTTGATAAATGCATTTTATAATTTTATCGTTAATAAGTAAATACTGGGCCAGGGTCGTGCCTAAAAAGTTTTTTAAGGAGGGAGGGGGGGTTGAACACCCAACCCCCCCCCTTAAGCACGCCCCTGTATTGCATATTTTATATAAGACACAAGCCGCATACGACTTTGACAAGTTGGCCATCCCAGGTATACAAATTGTTGCATGATAAATGTGTCAAACTTCAAGAGGTATTTCTACACCTAAGATGCAATAAAAAAAAGTCCATATGACCATTATAGATTTCTCAATAATAAGGGAGATATTTAAAATGTTGTGTTTTTTTTTATTGAACGCAAGTTTCATTCATAATAATGTATAGTATAATATAGGTAGGACTGGTAGGTGCTTTTGATATTAATTCGTCGTTTTTTCTACAAAACAGCCCGTGGATTAGATAGTCGTAAAACATTAATAAAACATTCCACTTAAATCTAATTAAATATCATTAATTCAAATATATCACACCTGCCATCCACATTGACTTCGGTGGAATATATTTTATTTTATTACCATGATAATATATTTGTTATGTAAGTTTTCATTTGTTTAATTAGGATTGAATCATACGCGTTCAAAAGGCATAGGGTTTACACTTTACATGTAATATACCTAATATATATACAGTAATTGTATACAGTGGACAGTGGCTTATACAAGGGAGATGTTTGTGAGACATGATACCCCCATTTAGCACGTGTTAAATACTTAAATATAAATAATTTTGTTATTAATTATGAAAATATTGCGATCATTAATGTTATTATTTTCGTACATATAATATACGTATGAATATTTTGATTAGCTAATTTTTTTATTATAACTTTAAATATACTTGAATTTATGCGTATTTATAATAATTATATAAATATATATAATATATTTTTGGTACAAATATTTTAGAAAAAATCTAGATATGTGTATATTATATGTGTTATTAATAAGCTATAAATTATAATTTATRAACTATACGCAGTKATTTTAATAGATGTGAAATGTGGTCAAGCTGATCAAATAAAAAAAAGTAATTTTCGTTCAATTAGCCAAAAATTAAGGTTATTTAGATCAAACATTTTTGAGTTAGTGAAAAATAGTTTACAAAACTGGTTTTTGTATGCAATTCTCGTTCAACCTTATAATTTTTTCACATTATTTTAAAATTAAGAATTTTTAACTTTTTACATCTTTCCCAACCGTAAAACACCAGTTATAGATTCAATTTTCTACCAAAAACAACCTTTTACTGCTTTCAAAGATGGAGATTGATACAAAAAAAAAAAACTTTATTATAAAATCAATACATCAATATAATAACAATAATTTTACAGTTGGAAATTAAAATCAAACTTAATTTATATGTATACTAGCTATGTAAAAATTAAAAACAAAGAAGCATGTATGGACATTATATTTGTATTCTATACAAATTCACATTTTTCGTTTATTCGTAATATAACATTTCGCTTGCAAGGACATAAGATACACATGAACAAACATAATAAATTAAAAATAGTAATGATACACGTACGTTTGGTTGTACCTAATTAATTAATTTCCAAATGTTAATATTACATATCGTATATTCAATAATATATCATAATATATTTATAACTGACGGAGTTGGATATAATATACAAAAGTAATAACTAATAGTATTTTCAATAAGACTTCAACATTATACTGTTGTATGTGTTTAATGTATATTATTATAAACTAGTTATGTCAAATTGCAAATGTACATAATATCATCCAATAAATTAATATATCGATAATTATATTCCCAGAATTTTGATGGAAATCAGTAGTATTACATAATATAATTCAAACGTCCATAGCTGTCGGAAAATAATTAGTAACTAGGGATTTCAAGTTATGAACTTTATACCGACGAGCGCAAACAAATGATAATAAATCAATTCAATTTTCACGGAAAATCAATAATCAGCAGCGTAAAAATTCACCAAAATATATTATAAGTAGCTAGTTTTGCTCAAAATCGTTTTTCGTATAAATAGGTACAGGGCTTATCATTGAATTAAAATTTATCACATCCATTGAATAGTGATCAACTCAATGATGATGAATAGTGGCTTATACATAAGGTTACCATTTATGGTTGACAATAAAAGAGGACATTTTTTTCAAKATCATGAAGATTATTAATAAGTACATTTTATTTTATTTATAGGTAATGTACCTATACACCTACTGTAATAATAATATGATATACATAATATATCATTAGGTATAAATTATATTTAATTGTACACATTTATTAGTTGATATTTAGACTTAAGAAAATAAATTAAAYACTATAGAATTTCTTCGTGATTTAGAAATAAATAAGTACTAACACAGAATAAGACAATTATATAACCTATTATAATACCTATTTACTGATATCGAGGTGATTATTAAGAAAATTCACATTTCATGAAAAACCCTGACATTTTCCAATATTGAAAAAAAACCCCCAACCAAAACAAAGGTCTGGTAACCTTACTTATACAGAAATAATTTTCAGGGTGGTCTATAATATATAGCAACTAACAAAATATGATCTAGATCCTACTATATATTTAACAGTTACGACTGTAACTTCGGACAGGGGGGGGGGCTGCAGCCCACTAGGCCCTCCCCTTATATACGCCTCTGATGATGAGGTATCGACACTTGAAACTTACCACACAGCAATTCCTCAGTTTCAGTGACGATTAAATGATTTATCATAGAGGGAGGGGATAAGTCGACGCAGCGTATTAATTTATTAAACCACAATTTGTTACACCTGTATGTCATTGATAAAATAAAATATGCTATAATTAAATAAAATTGATAACGAGTATCTATATAATCATACTGAATTGAAATTATTTAATAACTAAATAAATAGGTATAAGCAGATATTTTACTAAAAAAATTAATTTAATTTTGGTTTAATGTATAATTTTAGGAGAGATGATAATTTCAAATGACAAATACAATATGACAGAATTGACAGTTTCGTATTACAGTGCTCAGATGAAACTGACAATTAGAAAACTTAGAAAATCAGATTTAGGAGGATACAAATGCATATCGAAAAATTCAATTGGAGAAGCTGAAGGAAATATTAGAGTATATGGTAAGACAATTAATATAATTTTTTTTAATTAGACTAAATTAATTAATTTTATGCTTAATTKTTGATCCAATTGATACAGTCTTCGCTTACTCAAAATCTGAAATAAAAATTATGGCCTAAGGAGTCATAAGTTACAAATTTTAAACTGAATAGTATCTATATAACATATTTAGTATGAAAACTTCAATTCAATTCAATTCAAATTAAAAAAATTATAACCATTAAATTTAAAAAAATTATTGTAACTAGAGCTCAGCTTATAAATAATTATCCAAACATAATCAATAATTATTTATAAGAATCTATGGGTATTTTCATTTCAATGTTTTTTGATTTTCCCGAACATTTTAAAGGAAATTTAAAATATGTAGGTACTCTATACTCTATAGCTCTATACAGTAATATTGAACGTTAGAAACTTTTGAGTTCAGATTTTAAGTATCTTACAAAACACAGCAACATACCTAAAAAAAATTAAAACTAAAGCTTTATTTTTCTATTTTTAAACACTGTATTTATCAACAGAAATGGATTTATCTAAGCCCAGAACACCTAGCGAAGACGACGACGATAATGCTATAAATACGTTTAATTCTGAAGAAGATGATTATGAAAATAGAAACACCGGACGCAATTCTTCAAGCAATTCACCAGCACTCAAAGATCAATCTCATCGTTTACCTAGGTCATCTTCAGACAAAATACGATACATCAACTCCGTTATGTTAATATCGATATTAATAATAATGAAATACTAAATTGTTATAATGTATTCATATTAATGTAAACAAATTCTCGGAGGTTGGCATATTCCATTTAGACGACTCGTATAATACCTACGCATCATATACCTATTATTCATATTAGTAAACTACCAATACCTATATCATTGTATATTATAATATGTACATTGTGCAGGTATACATTTTTCATTTGCATTCTTCCTACTTTTAATATCACCAAAACACGATACGAAACTACCGGTATGTATACGAGAAGTAATCCTATTCAAAAAAGTATTTTATAAACGTGTACTTGAGTACACCGATTCTGCTCTAGATGACCTTGGTCAAAGGATATAGGTACCTAGGTACATATTATCATTTTGTTGGTATTAATGTGCCTGAACCGAGGAAGACGGATAAATACAAATAAACGAACAACCTATGACTATACAACGCATTTTAAAAATATTGTAATTTGTATATATTATTTATTTATGGATCAATAATTGTGTAGTAATTTTAACTATACAAATTTTGTAACATACTTACCTACATACTTTTGAAGTACGTTATTCATAATTACGATGTACCTACCATCAAACTATTGTTTAAACTATAACTATATTATATTACATTTTAATTTTGTAAATAATAACTCCTGTCATCGCTCAACCTCCGTCTATTTACAATGTTATCATACAAGTTAAGACTATATGTACGCAAATTAATAATAATCAAAAATTATTCTCTATGAAGTAAATAATTATTATGTTGTTAATGAATTTATCACATTGAATGTTCTACCGTAAATGAATGTAAAATATTTACCACAATATGTAAATAAACTTAGTTAAATTTATGTAGGTATTGAATATTTTGTTATATACGTACCTACCTATAATACCAACTTGTTAGATAAGAACCTACTCAGGCCCGTATCCAGACCAAATTTTCAGTTGGGCAAACCAAATTTAAGGTAGGCATTGTGATTGTATATAAATTCAATATGTATTTCTAATATTTTTAAAGGGAGCAGCGATTGGGTTTAGGGAGGGCAATGCCCCCTCTTGCCCCCCCCCCGTAGCTACGGGCCTGTACCTATACTGCCTACGTCCCACATCCTATAATATCCTACGGCTTACTCATCTATTTATTAGTTACTAAGTTAATTACAAAGTGTGATCGAACGAAATTAATATAAATATAATTGCTACCTACCTGTTATTTTTATACTGCTAAAAACCAAAGATTAACATTAAGAGTAAAATTATTAAAGTTAAAGTAAAAATCCTACATATACAAACCAATGTTTTACTTAAAACTAATTTAAAKTAGGATCTTGATATTTGGCATTTTCATCTAGAACTGCGTTAATTTTAAATAAAATTGTACCATACCCCTTGGTCTTGACGTAAATACTCAGTGGCGTAACCCAGATTTTACAGGTTAACATAATATATAGGAACGTAGAGTACGTGCATATATTTATATATTATTGGCATAGCCAGCCAGTCGAATTTGAATCGCGAAGGAGACTATCAGACAATTGTCATCTCTACATTTTTAAGTAGTATTAATATTTGGATTTACTATAGGTCTAATAACCTACATCATAATATATAAATCATAATAATTCAGTTCAATTCAACTCGTACTCCGTTAATCCTGTGATCTTTTATATACCATTCTTAAGAAATATATGAATCAGGTGATAGAGTACAACATAATATTATTACTATTCAATAATTTAATAAACCTTCTATAATTTATACTAGTTATAGTGTTATATCGTCTTCAATTTTGTTAGTCTATGGACGCAGCCACGTAGGTAATAAGTTTCTAAGACCTGTAGGCTGCAAGATAGAGATAATCTAACTTAGAAAACTTAATCTATATTGATTCAACAACCCTGTTCTCAATACCGATTCATGTGATAAGAATAGCTAACCAACTACTCCTTAACTGGATACGATTTGGTATAAATATCGACAGCCACATGATTTAATTTAAATAAATAAGGTAGTTACACGTGTTGCAGTGATCTTTGACTTTTTATATTGGTAAGATGTATAGAAACAATACTGTCAGTGGGAGGAGGGCATGGTCCCATCTAATATTTGGTACTTGAAAGCACATTGAGTATGAGTTACATAGGTACCTACCTACCTATTATCACCTACTGGCTACTTTAAATAAAACTAATATTTTGATCGTGAACTTTTTCAACAAAATAATAATGTAAAAAAATATTGAGGGTTTGCCCTCAATTTTTTTCCACTAATAACAACTTATAAGGAACATCGTATTACATTTTGAAGTTTTTTAATCGAGTGAAAAAATGTTTAACGACTTTAATTTTAAAATATATAAAATTTCTTATATGCATATAAATAGCCTATAAATAACTCAAAACATATTGAAAATTTTATGATGTATGAAAAATTCTAATATATAAAATGTTATGGTAAAGTACGAATTACCGTCTAAACCTATAGGATTTACCGGAAAATCCTAAGTTTCACCGATTACCTACTATTGGTAAATGTCGGAAATTCGGACATTTACCTATTTATTTCGGTAAAACCTAGGAAACACAAAATTATTTGGTCAAACCCCGAATGATTTTTGTAGTTCGGATTATTACAAACGAGATTTGGTAAGTCTTAGGATAAACAATCAGTGTTAGTAAAAGTCCCAAATTTTTTACCAATTAGGTATGTTATTAATTATTAATAATTATTATTATTAAAATATATTAGGTATAATATACTAGTAGGTACATTAGATACACACATTTATATTCGCAATTAGTTCACCTTATGTGAAGAAAACTTTTTAGAATCGACAATAATACCAGATAATGAAATTAGTATTCGACAAGCAGTATCGCAACTGTCTTTGACTGGTGAATAAAGATTAATAATGTGTGAATGTGTGATTGTTTAAAAAATTTATGACTAATAGATGTAAGTGCCGATCCAAAAAAGTATTGTGCAACTCGAGATGTCACAGTAGTCAAGCCTGCACAAATAAATAATTTTATGCTGATGCAGCCCCAAACCTTATTAGGTATAGTATCCTCAGTTCAAAAACACCAAAAATTGAAAAATTATGTGAAAAAAAAACAATTTTCTTTATTTTAAGCAGGGTTTTTTTTATTTGACGTTTTTACCAAATGTCTTATACGATCAAATATTATGTGATGAATTACATCGATAATTTCGTTATAGATAATAGATTCTCAACTGAGCAGCAAGATTAAAATATATACGTATATAGCTTTAATCGTGGTTAGTATAGTAATCTCTTGATATTATTTAAAAATAATATGAAGGTTTTAGAACTGCTTACCCTCCAATAATCATATCATGAAGTTACTAAAGATATTTATAAGGAGCCCACATTTCCAAATGTATATAAAATGTTACAAGTTGCTCTAACTATTCTGGTAAATTCTGCTACGTGTTGAGAGAAGTTTCTCGTCAATATGTAGTCTAAACAACTGGCTATGAGCCAATATGAAGCAACAGCAATTTACAGATTTATCAATATTAAATATTAAAAGAGTGTTATTAATAAAATTGCTTCATCAGAAATACTATAAAAGTAGAATACTGGTAATAGAAAAATAATATATTTAAATATAAACATGTTTAATTATAGATATATTTAGTTATAAAATATAGCTTATACAAATATTTAAAATTAAAATTAAAATTGTATGATTCCTAATTATTTTAATAAATTATTAAACAAAATAGTTTTTTTCATTTGTTCTTATTTAGTCATAGTTTGTATCGCCTTAATAATATAAAATATTATGTACCTATTGTATTTAATTATATCGTTTTATCGTTTATGGTTTACTTGAGAATAGTTAAAGTAGTTATAAAATTTAAATATGGTATTTAAGGGAGTGGGGGCTATGCCATCACAAGTTAATGTAATTTGCATAGTTTTAGTACCCTTAGTGTTTGGTCTCTATTTACACCTATAGTACGACCTAATACCTATCTATAATATTCAGCAATAATATAAATCTGTGTATTTAATACACTAGTTTTTAATTTAGTACTTAATATACTTCAATATTAATTATTAACGTTATTGGTACAAAATTTGGGACTTTAACTAATACTGATTATTTACTAAATCTTATATGTAAAAGTCCCAACTACAAAATTAATTCGGGGTTTGACCAAATAATTTTGTGTTTCTTAGATTTTATCAAAATCTATTCTAACCTAACCTACCAAATTTCGGACATTTACCTACAGTAGTTAGCTAAGCCTAGCATTATAACTAAGAAAGGGAAATTGAGATCACCACTTCTTCCACCAGCTAAGAAATGCAGAGATGTACTGGCGACTGGCTCTGAGGGTAGAAACAACATCAAGCCGGAGATGGTTGACGTTGGAACTGACACTGTGCTGACTCCTAATTGGTGGGAGAGCAAACAGGAGTGCCGGGAAAAGGAGCCATCAAGACATCTCTCGGTCAAGGCAGGTGAGCGCGAGCCACTAACTCACGCGGATACAGGAAAGGATGTTTCTGGTAAGAAAGCAGCCGCAGCAGCCTGCAGTGCTACAGAGGCTCGCTAACCTACCCTTCCGAAGACAGGAGTGAAGCTCAGGGCTAAACCCCCTGCGATTTTAGTCAAGATAGGTGCTGGTTCGTCGTACCCGGACACCGTCCGCGCAGTTAGGCAGAACAGCAAACTAAACTTAGTAGAGCTGGGAGCTCAGGTAACCGGCATGCGTAAAACCAGGGATGAGCTATTGCTGGTGGAACTGGCCAAAGGTGCTGGATCTATGTCAAAAAGGGTTTTGTTTTTTTTCACTTAACATATTTTGAACTTGCAGTGGTCACACTATAGTTATATCATTATTATCAATATGCAATTTGGACAGGCTCCTCTAAGACATGGCAATATGGCATGCAATTTGGACAGACCCCTCTAAGACGTGGCATGCAGTTTAGATACAGGCATTCAGCCAAGTGTATTATTGGTAATGTAAAATGAAGCTTTTAAGATAATGCGAAGGACTTTAAATTGGATTTTTTGAATATAGTAAGTATAAGAATTTTTGCTGAGTCCTCTAGTAGGAAGGATCAAATGGACCTTAGATATAAAATACTAATTAATAATTAAATTAGGATTAAATGACCACATTTAATAGTGTAATACAATACCATCATAGTATATCAGTATGGTTAAAAATATATGGTAACACAATATTGAAGTTCTGTTTCAAATATTACAACAATCATTACAAAATTCATGGTTATAAATTTATGGTACTTAAAACAATAACACAATACTTCACACATTTGATCTTACATCTGAAAATTTTTTTAAACCATTAATTAGAACTGGCATTGTCATCCCATTTTTTACTAATATTGATACTACTCCTAAACGTTCCAAATCAACAATGTTCCGTTGTTCATCATCAAAAAAAATCATTTCCTCCAGTTTGATATTACATTTTTTGCTTATCCTAATTAATAAAATCAAACATAAGTGTTGAAAAAATATAACAATAATAYTTGTTACTCAGTACTCACATATTTATATGTCGATCTTTGCTACCAGGATAAATTTGTTTGTTTTGAAAATATTTATTCCAACCAAATAACTGTATGAGTTGCTCAGCTCCATCAATTTCTCCAGTTCTTGAAGCCACACTAATGCCAATATYTTTGTCATGAAGATATTTCAAGACTTTTGGTGTATCTGGATAATGTTTGATTACACATCCTCTGTAATCTACTACTTTACCATCACTAAAAAAAAATTAAAATAATGTTTAAAGATATACATTAAACTAACACCTAATATTAAAACTATAAACTTACGCTCTTTTATGAAAAGGGGGATTTACATGAGTGTCAACCCAAAATGGCCACAATGTATAATCTATAGGAGAAAAATTATTCAATTATATTGAAAAAAAATCCATGATTACTAATATACTTTATTAATTAAAAAAAACATATTTTTAAAAAATATTCTCAAAGGTACATCTTTAAATTATTATATAATCTTTACTGTGTGGTATGGGAGTTCACTTTAACATTTTGAAGTATTAATTGCAATAGAAACATCCTGATTGTAATAAAAARTATATACCCAAATTAACATACCCAAATCAAAAACAACCATTTTTGGAACTGGTGTTGAGGTTTCCTCAGATTTAGTTGCCATGTTAATTTCAAAAAATATTTAAAAACATATAAAATCAAGTAGGTAGTTAAGACTTATTTAACTAATTTATTTCTCCTAGGAWACTACAATATCTACAGAAATTTTTCCCAAATAGCAATTATTAATTTGATTCTAAATAATAATTGTCTCACAATTTGTAATTAATTGATTTGGCTCAATCATTAATTTTAATATTATATTAATATTAATTATTAATCGAGAAAAACATTGATAAAACTTTATAGTTCGAAGTATTATAAAAAGAAACAACAATAGGGCAACCCGCAATTGGCAAAAGACATCACTTCTTGGCAATTTCTTTCATTTAACCTTCACCTTTTATCAAGTTCTTAAAATCTTGACTATTGGAATATTGAATTGTTTGAACATCATAATATTATGTGTTCTATCTTCTGTGCGACTGTGCCTCAGTTGACTGTGAATTGTGATTTGGTTTGGTCTGATTCCCCTTATCAATTGATAGAAAGCCACACGCAAGCACGCAACCATAAATAATAGACAGAATCTTTTATTATCTATGCAAATCGATGAACATGACGTAATCACCATAGAGTAATGTAATCACCCGGTACGGCCGTACCAGTGTACCACAGATTATATATATCATAATCACGGCTATAGATCTATTATCTAGGCTATTATCTATAGCCGTGATCATAATATATGATATATTCTGTGCCGGTGTATGAACAAATAGGACCCGGGATCTATTTGTCAGCATACCTTCAGTCTGTGCCCGTACTCATATTGACAGGACGATGCCGATCAACCCACCTTGATACGGATACCTATATTCTAAAGACCGTGAGCGATACCGGTATTTACATTTGATAACACAAGGATTAGTGATAATAAATGTTTATTCATAATATCCATAAATAATAATAAATATATAATTAATAATTATAATACATATTCTGTCACGTAATAAAAATTTACAAATTGACAAGCAGTTTTCCAGTTTCCACAATTCACGAAGATAAATTAAAATCTTTATGTGTTACAAAATAAAATCTAAAACATTCAAGTTGTAACCATAATTTAAATTTGTATTTGTACAATAATATTATTGGACTGAAGGATTGTTTGATTGAGTATTGTGAACATTTAGTTGTGTATTTAAAACAACTAAATTAATTAAAAATAGATACACACATATACACGAGTGTAAATAAATCCATGAAGTGTAAAAAATAAAAACAAATTTTTATTTGTAAGTATTTCTTACCTATTAGTTATTAATTTATTATTCATCCTGATTAAAATAATATTATATATATATAATGTGATATATTAATGATCTTTATTATGTGTTAAGTAAGTATTAATTTATAAAGCTATATTTTTAACAATTCAAAAACCAGTAAGTATTTAATAAAATAATTTGATTAAATATTTTTAATTTTGAGAGGTACTTAGGTATTTCCTAATTGTTAATTTTTTAAATATAAATTGGCCATTTTTTATTTTTTTTTATTTGAATTAAATTATTTTTACATTATCTACTGTTTGAAAACTTTTTGTATGATGCGCGTAACGAGAAAATTTCAAATTTATTTAAATAATTAAATATGCCTATGCCCTACAGATATATATAAATCAATTAATTTCTGTTGTGATCAAATATTCCACCTATAAACTACATATATACTATAAATTCAATAAAAATAAAACTTAAATATTTTTTATGAATATATAATTAAAAATATGTTACAATAATTAATTTTAATCATCACAATTGTTAAAATAACAGCTAGATTTTTAATCTATAATTTAACCTACATTTTTTTTAGAAGTCATCACCATGAAACCGGGGTTTACTACAATTTTGACTGTTTTGTTTGTGACATACTTGTGTAATCTCTTCTACTCGATATGGATAATGGTACAACCGCCATCGTGTACTAGTGAAGGTCTATGTTTGAAATCATTTTTGTTACGAAAACCGAATTTAGAAGTATGTTTTATTGTATAAAATTTCTAATTTAATTATTCTTATCAATCTTATCGTAATCATTTTTTAGCTTACCATATTTGTTGCATCACGTTCAAACCCCAGAGGATCAGAAGTTATATTTGTAGACAAATTCCTGTTACCAAATTACAATGATTCATATGAAAGGTATAGTAGTTGTATGGTATAAACTACTATTATTTAAATGAATATAAATAACATTATTTTTATTTGTTTTTTTTTTTTTTAATTGCAGATTGATGGCTGTAGAACTACCAAGGCTAACCAAACAAAATGGAACATTATATGCACATGTGTTCTTAAGTAAAGCTCAAGAAACACTATATTCTGGGGATAAATGGACCAAATTATTAACCGATCCTGAGACTGTATATACCTTAGTTCCAATGTCTATTTACAAAGAACCTGAATATAAAATTTTTCAATTATTACATGAAGGGGAAAACATAAAAAAGAATGTTGAAAAACCAGTGACACATATAAAAGTTGTATTACCAGTTAGCATGTTAAAGGAACCATTACATTTTTCTCAGATTCATATGCCTAGCGATGTTTATCAATATATAAGGTAAAAGTAATTTTAAAATTACCAAATGAAAAGGAAAGCTTTGATCCTTGATTATTTAATTAGTTTTATATTTTAAATAATTATTTCAGATTATATAAAAAAAACCAAGAGTATTTACCTATATTCTTACATAATACTCTTCAAGATAGATCTTTCAATATTACAAAAATTGATAAAAATACCACACATGTACCTATTTTATTACGTTATGAACCTTTAAGTTACACTGGTCTAAGGTAATGTAAAGATTAACCTGTAAAATAATTTTTATCTTTTTTAACATTATTGTTTTTACTTCAAAAATATAAGATGAATAAAATATATGTTATTTAATAATATTTAGTTATTTAAATGTAAATTGTATAATTATTTCTCTTGATTGAAGTGGCTTGATTTATTCAGTTTGAATCATTTAAAATCTTTAACAATCATTTATAAATAACGAGAACCCCCCTATGTTCATATTATGTACATTATTATATAATAAATCTAACTTATTAATTTTGGTTTGAGTTCATTACATTGTTGCCAAATCTATGTTGTATTTATTTTTAATTTAATATTTTTTCTTTTAGAATATTAACACAAACTCAATTAGCTATGGTAACATTGCAACAATTTGGATTCAAAAGCAAAGATATTGATGAGATTAAAGCTATTTTTGATACTAATCATTATTTGTTATTAGTTTCAATCATTGTTGCATTTGTTCACGTAAGAAAAAATTTATACATTATTATTGTTTTCTTTAAAATTAAAACTTTACATTATTATTATTATTATTTGTTCTTAGATATTATTTGATTTCTTAGCCTTTAAAAATGACATATCATTTTGGAGATCAAGAAAATCTATGGCTGGGTTATCATCGCGTCTTGTTGTTTGGCGTGCTTTTAGTCAAACTGTTGTATTACTTTATTTATTTGAGGAAAAAGCTTCAATGTTGATCATTGTACCAAGTGCAATCAGTTCTGTAATAGAGGTAAAAATTATACAACATTTCATTAACGCAATATAATTGTATAGGTATTTATTAACAAAGTAATTAATTTATGTAAGACACTCATTTTTTCAAAAACTATAAACATTTCTTAAATACTGTATAACCTTGAAAACTAGAATTGGTTGGAGGCAAAAAAAAATTGAGTTATCAAGGTTCTATTGTATTTTATTTTTTTTTAGTTACAAGTTTAGTTTATGCTAGCCATTTGTGTTTTCCATGTTGTAATCATCATAATATAGTGTTTATATACATTATAGTTAATACATTTAAAATTAAAATAATAAACACAAAAGTAAGAACTTTAGAAGCACCATAGCGGCGTATGTTGTTTTTGTCTTACACGCGTACTACATACCAAATTTCCGTTCATTAGTTTCAATAGTGTGTTATTAGTTTTTAATTTTTATATTTGAGTGAATTTACCTATAATCAAACTTTTAAGTAAAAATAGTATCTGTTTTCTCATTGGTTTTTTACAGTATTTTAATTATGGTACCTAACCATTATTACTTGTTATATATTTTATAGATACAATTTTAAATTTCCGATTATAATTATTTTTTTGTGCATTTAATTTTTACACATCAGAATATATTTGTAATCTCTGTTTTTAGGAAAAAATTAATTTAACATGACAATAAAAATAATAACAAATGATTAAATCTAAAAATATAGGTGGCGGTAAAATACTTTTTTGGCGGCAGGCATCAACTAAATTTGCACATTTTTTTACCTAATTTTAAGTTTTTACAATTTTTTAAGCTTAAACATTTTTAATTTCATAGTATAAAGCAGAATATTATATAATTATTAGTAGTATTTTGATACATAACATTAAACAATCAAATTTCGAATGATAGTTTTCTGAGGTGAGTAGTGGGCCAATATTTTACGAGGCCACTCCATTTAACTCATCTAAACTTATACTACTTGTACTAAATAACCCAGTGGTTCTTAACCTTTTTCAAATGACGGAACACTTAACATTTTACAAGATTTTCGCGAAACACAACCGTAAAATAAAATAGTAGTACATACATTTTTAATTTTTTAATATATTAAACAATGAATGTATAGCATAAAATTCGTTGCAATATTGTCTATTGACCTTTTTTATTTTATTCTCATCATTGACATTGCTTGTATTTGTACTTGCATTATCAGTACCAGAATCATGTTTCCGTTTAAGAAATTTGTCCATTTTGTTATTAAAATGGTCGTTACAAATTAAATTAATTAACTAAATAAATTTCAAATTGTACTTACTTAAAAAAATAACAGAATCCTTAGTTATGAAGTTGTACACGCGTCTAACATTGATAACCGTGGGCAACGTACTATTACTAATGTATTTTATAACTTTTATTAGTGCAGAAAATAAAATTGTCAATATCTATACGTATGTTATCGCAGTATGGTGGAGATTATTGTATAATATAATAATAATAATGTATATTAATATATTATATAGTATAGTAGTATACTGACACATTATATTATTCGAAAGTTAACGATAACGTTTTTGTGTACAAAAATAAACCAACAAAACCTAAAATGATTATATTTTGAAAGAATTTTTTTTTCACTGATTTAAAAATTTTGGCGGAACACTTATACGAAGTCCGCGGAACACCGGTTAAGAACCACTGATATAACCTGACATCCTCGCTCATAAACTACACTTGAAAAATGCAATTTGTATACATTGAAGTAGGTACTCTGAAAAAATATTTTGATTTGGAATAAAGAATTTAAATGTATTTTATGATAAAACAAAAATATTATAAGAATTTAAAATGGCAAAACAAAATTTAAACATTAATAATATTTGAAATAAAAAGTGTTAAAATGCTAAAATGTTCAATAAAAAAAAAATAAATATTCTTTGACAAAAAGAATCACCTGATTACTTATGTCTTGCATACAAAGTAATTTGCTAAGCATACCTACTCACTTACTTTTTTCATAAATAATGCAGTTATTCAAAATCTGCTTTTTGTAATTTTTAAATAATATACTTTAAGACCATATTTTTAAATGATAAATATTTTTTTATACTACTTAAGAAGTATTCTATGGGGATACAAACTTTTTAACGAAAACCCCAATTTCTTCTATAAATGATTTAGCTGATAATTTTTAAATTTCAATATCAAATTCTAACAACTATTTTTTAAGTTATTTAACTTTGTGCACTAAAAATAATAGTTTCATTCTCATAATAATAGGTTTGAAAAAAATAAGGCCTTTGAATGCTGATGGTGATCTCAACATTTTAGTAATTAAAGCATTAATCTGTCAGTATTTATAATTGTTTATAATGCTTCAAGTATAATAAATATTATATCCAATGTTACATCCATTTTATATTTTTGGAAACCATTTTTAAGGATCATTGTTTGTAATATAAACACTTTGATAACTGATAAACTTAGCATTAAAATTTTAAATTAGGTACTTATATCAAAATTTTCAAAACAATGATTCATTAAATTATTTACTATTAAATGTGGGTGTTTTCATTTGATAGAAGGAGTTTGTATCACCATAAAACACTCCTTAAGCATTTCAAAACATTTCCAGGATTTTAAAGTAGGTCTGAGTGTATTTTAAAATTGAATAAATTTGTTATTAAAGAAAGAATGGGTATTAGCATATTTATTAAATTATAATGTTTATACATTTTACCATTAATTTTAAAATTATTTAGATCTGGAAAGTGTTTAAAATCATACCAATAGATTGGAAAAATCTAAAACTAAAACAATTGACCTTAAATCGTGCCGAGGAAGATACTAAAAAGTTTGATGCTGAATCCATGAAATATCTGTCCTATGTTTTATATCCTTTATGTGCTGGTGCTGCTATTTATTCACTTATCTATGAACCACAAAAAAGGTTTGATCCTCCTACATTTCTTTTGTATAATATGATAATTTAAATGTGTTAACCTAAAAATGTATTTAGCTGGTATTCTTGGAGTATCAAAAGTCTTGTCAATGGAGTCTATGCGTTTGGTTTTCTTTTCATGTTACCTCAACTTTTTATCAACTATAGACTTAAATCAGTTGCTAATCTTCCATGGAAAACATTTATGTATAAGGTGAGATTTTATAAATTTTTAATAGACACAATTTATTTTAAATTATAATGTTATTTAGGCATTTAACACTTTCATTGATGACTTGTTTGCATTTATCATTCCAATGCCTACTGCCCATAGATTAGCCTGTTTCAGGGATGATATAGTTTTTCTCATTTATATATATCAAAGATGGTAAATAATATCATTATGAAAGTTAAAATGAACTTATTCTTTATCTAATTATATATTGTATTAGGTTGTATCCCGTGGATCAAAGTAGATTTGATGAAGATGTTGAAGTACTTGAACTGCCTTCTGAAGAATTAAAAACAAAAACTGATTAATTTGTTGATCAGAATATTTTCATATTAACATTATTATGTTATAAGAAATAGTTGTACTATCTCCTAATATGCAGACTACTGAAAAAATATGCTGTGTACCAAAATGGACGTGGTCTACCATAATAATATTAAAAGTATGAATAAAAAAACATTCTTTAGTGATTTTACATGCAATTAGGATGTTAAAAAGAAAGTGTGGTTTGGGGAGGCACGGTTTTATGCACAATATGCAGAATATACTGAGCGTATGTAACGGCCATAGTTATTAGCTCCCGGGTAAGTGACCACCTGAGATTTTTAGCAACATATACAACCCTACCATATCACCACACACCCTATATTGCTGTGGTTCTCCGTAAAAAAAAAAAAAGAAAGAAAGTATAATAAGTATAAAAATATTACAGATTATCCACCAAGCATAATTTCATAACTTTAAAGGAAGCATCAAAAATATTATCAGTTTTATAATCCTTAGCACCAATTCTCGGCTAAGTAACTCTTTAAGAGGTCTTCATTAGTACTACACGTTTTTTTTAATACAATTTTCAGTCTAAGAGGCCTCTAAAGACTAACATTTGTAGACTGCATACTATACTCATATTTATAGTTAAGTAGTACACAAACGTAGGTAGACTGCATATTGGGAGATAACCAATTTCTGTTTGCAATTAATGCGCTAAAATGTATAATATTTTTGATATTATGTTCTTTGTGATATTTTAAATATAAATAGTTGTTATTTCCCGTACTTATAAGTGTGGAAGTTATATAATACAAACTATAACTTTTTATAGATATGGGTTATTTTTAATGTAACTTGCAATAGTATTGTAATTTTAAATTTTATATTTTAATGTTACTTTGGTGGTTGATAAATAAAAATATTAACTATTTTAATAAAATTTTTAAATTTACAAGAATAGTTAATTGCTTTTTAATTTATTTATAACTTAAATAAGTCAACAAAAATCAGTAAATAATTGTACGTGATCATTATAATATGTATTTGGCTTATTGAAGTTAATTTAAAATAAATTAAATAAAAGAATCTGTTGTATTGTTTTTCATTGAATATATGACATATATATGTTGGGTCACATGTAAAATTGATTAATTTAATGATTCAATAAGATCGTATGGATGACTAAATCATGTTTAAGGAATCATTAGTTCACGATTGTTTCATTAAATGTTTAATAACCATCCATGCTACTCGGCACTTAACATTTAAAATATACCATGAATTTAGTATGATTTATGTAACCACACTAGGTTAGGTTAGGTGTTTTAACAATAGTGTTAAAACATTAAAACGTGTTGGCTGTGGCTCAGTCGAACCGGGTTCGATCCTCAACCATCGGGCGACATTTTTTCTCCGGGCAAGTCACGGTGTCCGGAGAACAAGTGCCGCCAACCCCCACTCCGCAGCATGGCAGAAGCCTACGGGTGCCCCAGTAAAAAATTCTGCCAAAACTCACCCACGTGTAACACACCTACCGTTCCATAAACCTACAGCACCACCCCCTTCCCAATGGCCTAAGTTGCCGTGGGATAATTAATAGAAAAAAAAATTTAAAAAAATAGTGTTCTCAAACATTAAASAAAAAATAATTTCGATAAATATTATGTTACTGGGATGATTGTTGAATTCATATTAATTAATATGTTTATATGGTAGTGATGCAGCAATTTCAATTCTATATATCTATGAGTAGTTGGTGTCTTACTAGTTACTGATATGTTAATTTGTTTTATTAACCAGTAAATTTACAAATACATGGAGCGTACAACACTCATTATTTCCAAAAGTGTAAATGTTTTTGAAAATATAATTTTAYATAGCTTCAASTCVTTWACAAAACMAYGWTTTTATTAAAAAATTATATTTTTAACATTTTTTTATCCCTATAATTTTTTAAGTTTTTACTTTTTTGAATGACARCATGTAGTTTTAATTTGATATTCCAAAACAGAATATTTTTCTAAGTATTTCGATACATAAAAATTAAATTTAGGGCAAGTAGTTTATGAGTTATAAATATTTAAAGTTTAGATGAGCGGAGTAGTAGACAAATATGTCGCGGGTTAACCCCGTACCACTCTACTCCGCTCATCTAAACTTTAAATACCTATATCTCGTAAACTACTCGCCCTAAATTCAATTTTTATACATCAAATTACTTAGAAAAATATTCTGTTTTGGAATATCAAATTAAAACTACATGCTGTCATTCAAAAAAGTAAAATACTTAAAAAAATGTTGAAAATATAATTTTTTAATAAAAATGTTGTTTTGTAAACAACTTGAAGCTATGTAAAATTATATTTTCAAAAACATTTACACTTTTTGAAATAATGAGTGTTTTACGCTTCATAAATCACCCCGTATACACAATCCAATAAAATACTTATAACACCATCGATTACAATATTTACTAAATTATTGAATAATATGGCTTCTGGGCAAGGAAAAATATATGTTAAAATATGTTTTCCAAAGTTGCAATGAACATAATTCTATTTATAATAATGACATGTTCATATATTTTATAGTTTCAGTCGTATTATCAATTATTAAATTATTGTATAATTGAAAAATATATTTAAAGTGTATTCTCTTTTTTCTAAATAATACATAGAAGACTAGTAGTTTAAAGAATTTTTTTTGCAAGACTCACTACGAAGTTATTCCTAAACAATTGTAAACTCTAATATCTATTATCAGTTATCACCATAGGTATTGATTGATATGATTTTTACAAGACAACAGCAAGGGATATCAATATGTCCCATACTCTATATTAGTATCGTACCACATTGTTGCTATAATAATTTTACTATATTAGTGTCAACGACTGTCAAGTACTCATAATTAAGTTTATATGTAACCACCAACTTTAAGTAATTATAACTATGTCGAGTGGAATAATTTTTAAAAAGAAGTTAACTTGAGTATTTTTAAATATGGCCACACATTCTAGAGCATATATAATTAAACTACTATACTAATTTCAATGAATTATAATAAATTTTTAAAAGAAATAACARTTTTTAAAATTTTATTTATGAATATTTTTTATTAAATCAAGGATAGTTACACATTAATTTGTATTTAAAATTTTAGTATATCAAAAAGCAACTTTATCTCCTTGTTGTCTAAGATTAATAAAATAATGATTACATTTATTTAAGCAAACAAAAAAACTTTATCAATATAAATGTAATCAGTGGATACGTAAGATGAAAAGTTATATTTTTATACCAACTGATTTACAAGTATTGCAAKATGAATAATAGGCATTTGAAAATTAAACCCAGTGTTAAATAACTTATCCAAAAGTTTGTTAATTTCACTCATTCTAGTTCTTCTTTCAAGTTTATACTTTAGACATTTTGCAACTAAAGATCTAATATTTTTCTTTTTGGACACTTCAAAATCAATTTGTAAAATGGTTATGCAAAAACTGAAACATCTTTTGAATGCCAAATCAAACGCTTTATTGTTTGAATATAAAATAAATCCTTCTGCGATTTCACTCAAGCGTTGTATTATATAATCCCATAGAGTCATTTCTTCAAAATAATTCCTATTCGAACTGAGCAGTAATTTATCATACTCCATATGCATATAATGAGCACATGGTGGATGTTGCATAAGGTTATTATAAAGAACATTATAATACTGTTCGACTGTTACAATATCATTGCATATTAACATTTCGCTAACTAAGAACTTCATTGTATCTCCGTTAAAATAAGATGATTTTGTTATATACATTACAATCTGTCGTATGTCTTTTTGCTCACGATTAGCAGCTAATTCAGCCAAGTTACTACTGAAAGGAACTACAATATTAGAGTGAGCATCTTCCGGAATATCATTTTGTATGCATTGACAGACTGTGGAATCATTCATCTGGACAGGACTCAATCCATCCAATGATTCAATATATCGTATTACTTGGCTATCTTGGAAAATGTTCATGGTACCTAATTTGAAAAATAATATCATAGCTATAAGCATGGTTAGTAACATAAAATATAATTCCAGCACTTACCTAGTAAAGTAATAAATATATCAACAGTTTAATAATTTCAGATCATACAATTCAAAACATCCGAAAAATTTGAAGCTGTTCTGATCAAAACTTAAAAATATCAAGCATTCAAGCAGAACATTAATGTATAGGATTTATTATACAGTGATTACACTAATTAATAAGAGATCAAGAATGAAGATAGACCACAGAATAGATAAATGCCAAACGCCAAAAAAAGCCGCGAAAATAATAGTTAATTTTTATTATTATACAACTTTATCGATTTGATATTATCATATTATCATATATTGTTCTATGATAATATTATCGAAGGCATGGAGATTAGAATAAGGAAACCAAACTATTACATCCGCCAGCATGAAAAACCATAATGGAATGAGTTGTACGATTAAACGCCATAAATACTTGCCACTGGATCTATGGCATTAATTGTAGGCTCGCTGGGATTACAGCTGCTTAAATTTAAGGGGGTTGGAAGCGGTGATTTTCTGTCTTTGTCTAACACACGTGGAACATAGGTAGTGTGACCATAATTATTATTTTATCCTAAAGGGGGACACTTAAAAAAAGAGGTACGTAAAATGTAAATACATAATAATAGCAAATACATTACATTTACAACAACAACTAGATACTAGAAGTACCTTAATTTTTGTCAGACCTATATTGTATGTCCCACGTGTGTTAGACAAAGACATCACCGCATTCCCCTTAGGCTGCTTATATCACATGATCTAAGGATCTAAGGATTATAGATAAGATAATAAAAACCACACATGAATAAGTTGATAATGAAGAAATGATAACATTTATTGTGATTGAACTTTTTAATATATATTATATTATGTTCATCAATACTTTAATTTTAAAGAAGTTATTCCGTAGTTGTTATTAATGATTTGTGAATGAATCAATGTTTTGTTTATAAAATGATATAGGTCTTCCTTTACGGTAGTTATTAAATTAATTAGTTTTACTTAAACACTAAAATGAGTCAATTATATTCATGTACAAATTTTTGTGTTCCATTATCAATAATACTCAATTAGTTTAAAATTATCCACTCGTAGTTCATTTTATTTTATCCTTTTTAACAATTACTATAAAAATATAAGTGCTAATTTTTTCTTGTACAAAAATAGGCTTAAAATTCATGTGTCATGATGGTAGACATATTTGATGAACCAGATGTACATTGTGAACCGAATGCATTGGTCGGTAATTTTGGATGGTTCCTACAAGGCCTTTTGGCTACATTGGCATTCCTTTGTTTAATAAGTAAGATGTGCTTTTAATTACATTAGTATGACAATTTATAATGCAACAAACATTTGTTAATTTTTCAATGGAAGTCTTCTCTTTAAGCTATTTTTTGTTAACTTCATGCACATGTTTTTGCAATTTACTATCGTACATATTTACATTTTTCATTCATTTTCTTATAGTTAGTAGTTGCTTTATATTTTTAATAAATATGATTTATCTGATGTTACATAATCAAGATACTTCTAAAATACTTTTAAGGTTTCCCCTCGTGTTGAATATCAACCTGTATCAATTTCATTTAAAAATAATACAAACTTATTGTCTTTTAACATGAATTATGAATAGGTTGATAGATAAAATAACACATTTAAGTTTATTTATACATTTCTTATCAGTAAAAAGATTTTGTGAACCAAAATATGATCGACGACCCTGGAAGGTATGGTTTTTTGATACTTCCAAACAAGGAATGGGCTCCTTGCTTATGCACTCAGCAAATTTAGTTTTGGCCGGTCAAATTCAAGGTGATCCATGCACTTGGTGAATATCTATAGTTGTTTATTTATTATACCTATATAATTAAATATCCATGAGTCATAATTGTTTTGTTTAATCTACCTAAAACCATCTTTTTCAAATTAAAAAAAAATAAGGTTTTTAGTAAAAGTTCAAATACCAAAATTAATCATTTTGTTTTGTAGGTATATGATTCATTTTTTAATGGATTCATCACTTGGTCTTTTATTGATATTTTTTGGTATACGATTTTCCCAACATGTAGCAAGAGTAAAAAATTGGGAATCTTTTAACTTTGGAGAATATGGTATGATTTTAAAAGTATTATATGTATTCTTAGTATGTGGTATATTAGTATAGTGGTGTAATATTGTGAAAATGCATATACATCACTTGGTGTATAAGGAAAAATATTTTTTAACACATTGACTGTGTATGACTTTTTCAGATTTTACCCATTGTATATGATAAATGTAAAAAATAACATAGTGAAACTGCTCTTTATGGTTATACCTTATACGTCCAAACAACATATGTATACATATTTTAAAACATGCATTTAATCCAAGTCAAATAATAATAAAATAACATTCAGCCATGTGTATAGAATAATAAACTATTTACTTTAAATATATATCAACACCAAATGGTGTCAAATGCATTGCTGATAAATCCTCATAACGTCAGTATACAGTCAACGTGTTAATATCGCTAATTAAGAATTAATGAGTAAACCAAAAGTGACTAGGTACAATTGTTTTATTTATTTTTACACCCAGTTTTTTTTCTTCAATTTATACCGCTTTATGAATATTTTATAATTAGGTACAACAATTTGATATTATATTGATAGTTGATTTTTTGATTTTTCAGGAAAGCCAGAATCAATTAGAATCTGGTTTATTCAGTGTGGCTTATACTTGTCACTTTTATGTTGTGTTAAAATTGTTATTACATTGTTAATTTCATTAGACATCTGGCGAGTTATCACAAAATTTATCATGTCACCGTTTACTGACCCTAGAACAGAATTAACTATAGTCATGCTTATCATACCTCTGTTTATAAATGTAAATAACTATATTAAACTTTATTGTTATTTTAGTGTTATAACTACTCCTATAAAATTTCTTTACTGATATAGGCACTTATGTTTTGGGTGACTGATGACATATTGATGCATAGAAGTCGTCATCGAGTTGGTTTATTGCGACGTATAAAAATACAATACCATAAAGTTCAGCAAAGTGGAAGACTTGATGATACACCTATTTCTGATGATGATGAATTGCTCAATCTAGATGAAACATCAACAATTCTACGATCTAGTGGAGTTCAGGGTTTTTAATATGTTTCTTAATTTTTTTTAAATAATCATGCACTATGGTATTTACTTAATTCCTCAATTTTAATCGACATTCCTTCAATGTATATTGCATATTATTATCACAGATTACATAAAGCTAGTATGTGATATTATACACCTCATAAAAACATATTGTGAACGTTATACAATTTTCAATATTGTTTGTTACTTTTATATTTATTAATAAAATTTAATTTTATGAGTACTTTATTATATTTATAATATTTACCAATCTTAAAATTGAAAACAATCATTCATTTTTACAAAAACATTAAATTAATTTTTAATTATATCATTTGTATATAAAACCATTACAAATATCTTTGATTTTTATATTTTTTTAAATTGTAATCTGCCAATTATTTACAAAACTAATTTGGTAGACAAAATAACTTAAATGATAATTTATAAATTAAACCAGTATAAGTTAAAAGTCAAACATAAAAAAATAAATGGAATAAATAAATCTCTAAATTTTCAGACAACTTTTATAAAACTTTTAACTGTAAATTGTTTTAATCTTTTGTTATATATTTCAAAGCAAATGTTTGAAGCAAATTATTTAATCCAATAATATAGATTAAGCATATTTATTTATTTTTATTTTTCAAACAAAATGTTATTCTTGTAATTTATTTTATCATAATACTTAGTCCAAGAACTTAAATGACTGTGATACAAATTATAGTAATATCAAAATGTTTTGAATCTAAAATATTATATCCATACCCAGGCCATACCCTGTTTTAAGATTGTTAGTAATTTTTTACTAGTAAATTTTGTACTCGTTAAAGACCTAATTGATTATAAATATATATTTTTTTTTTCAGTAATTATATATATATAATTATATAAAAAATATTATAGCCAAAGTCTTAATTGAATTTTTTTTTGTTATATAAATAATTTTCTATCATTAAAATTTTATTTACTATATGTTATACTTTTTTTTTACTATACTATCATGTTCACAATTCACATTGCATAAAATATTATATATAATTTTTATGTATTTAAAAATCACTTGGTTTAAAAGCATTAATTACAATTAACTATTCAACTAGATATTTTATGAATAGTATTAAAATAATTTATTTCAAGCTGTAATTCATAGTCATTAATGTTTATTAAGAAGTAATATTATTTTAGTTATGTACAGCTAGTATTGAAGAGTAGTTTTCATCTATTGTAGTACATATCTACAAATCATAATATTTATAGTTAAATATGGTTTGTCAGTCATAAAAAAAGTCATGGAGAGGATATGACATCTAATTCCCCCTKTATCCACCTCCTACATGCCAACCTTAGGATCACCAAATTTCATGCTAAGCCACTGAAAATACTTTCAAGGTCTAGTACCTACTCAATAAGATGTAGTATAAAGAAGAAGAAAAATATTTTTTTTAATCTATAACTTATACTATCTATACATAAAAAAGTACAATAAGCATAGTGGATGTTTTTTATTAAATTTAGTTTGTGTTGAGTTACTTAAGAACCTATTGTTGAAGGTACTTCAGCATGAATTTACAGATCATTTAGGTATTTAAGTATTCATATGTTTCATTTATAAGGTTACGGTGCTATTTTTGCTTGAGTCTTCTGGAAGAATTTCCCGGGATAGAGATAGATAATAGCTTTTTAACATGAAGATTGGTGTGATTTTAAAGCCAATTTTTAAATTTAGAGTTGTATAGTTTGGCTGCATCAGTGACTAGGAACGTTAAGGTCTGTGTGAAGAGTGTAATATAAAAATAAGTATTAGTTATGAGTATAATGATTTTTGATTGGAATACTTATATTTTTCTTGGAAATATTTGATATTTTGACAGTKCCCAGAGTTTAATATCGTAAAGCCAGAATTTTAAATTTCGACCTCTTAAACTCACCAACGAGATTCCCTTTCCCATTGGAAAAGATACTGAAGTGAAAATCGAAACATTATTTCACATAATATGATGAAGAATTAATTCAAATGTTATTAACAAATTACAAAATATTAGGTATTGTCACTGGATAGTCAATGAAAAAACATGTCGCATATAAGTAGACAACAGTAAAAAGAAAAGACAATTTTTATTTATAAAATTGAAGAATATTATCTAATTTTAATTCACTACTGGAATATTAAGAATATTACAAAAATACCACATTTGATCAACATCCCGAATTCCTAACCCAACCCAGATGAAATTTACTACCATTTGGAATAATTACTACACGATCAGCAAGACTGGTTATTGGTATTATACTATTGTCATAGAATATAATAATCTTATAAAGTTATAACGTTTTAAACTAAGTTTATACATTATACTATATATAGTTTATGCATTGATTAAATATATTATATATATATTGTTTATTTAAACAATGTTTTATAGGTCTATGATTTTCACCATACAACAATATTAGTATATTACATTATTACACCAAGGTGCAGTACAGTTCAGTTCACTAATAATCGTCCTATGTATATAGTGCGGGACTGCGGGCCATAAATTTATTTTGTCATGGTGCAGGCTGGTGCCAAGACGTGTAGATGAAACATAAAATCTATACTTATCACTGATATATAAAGATAAAATATTTAATGGGTATTAGGGTACATACGCACTAAGCGGTTGCCCGCAATGCGGCCAGCCGTCCGGTTGACCGCAGTTTACGGTTGGTTCAGCGGGTAGCCGTAATGCGTCCAGCCGTCCGGTTGATCGCAATTTACGGTTGGTTCAGCGGGTAGCCGTATGCTAAAAACAACTTTAACAACTCCATTTCAACTATGGACGTTGAAGAAGTGATTGCTGTTTATTACATCTACAATCGCTACATAAAAAAGAAAAAGAAAAAAAAAATACTGGATACATCCTTTCCTACAAACCAAAGAAGAAACCAGGCATTTTGATATATTTTTTGAAAACCTCAAAAAATATGAAGACAAGTTTTTTGGTTACATGAGAATGAGTTTAAAATCATTTGAAGAATTATTGAGGATTTTAAGAACATCAATAACGAAGGAAGACACACGATTCCGAAAAAGTATT